AAATTTTTTTTATATTATAATTTAAATTTATTTTGGCCTGCTGTTATAACAACAATGAATATTACTACAGATGGTTTTGGTTGGATGTTATCATTTGAAAATTTCACATGGGTTGGGTTTTTGTATGGACTTCAGATATCTTGCTTTGCATCCCGTTTATTTATAATTTGCCTACAAGCTATTGGATATACAATATTTAGAGGTGCAAATAATGAAAAAAAATCATTTTAGGAATAATTCAGAAGATCCAAAGGTTAAACGTATGTTATTTTTTATTTGTTTACTCTATCTACTTTCATTTATTTGCTTTGTTAGGAATTCATACGTTAGAGTACATTGAATTGATAACCATTATTAATATTGCCATGTTACGATGAAAAAGAACTGAAATATATAACAACTAAAGCTGGTTCAAGATTAATTATATCTGGATGGTGAGCCATATAAATTATCTTGGTTTGCTCAAAGTTCTGTTAATCGCAAGTCATAGATTATAATTTATTTCAAATTTTGTTTAGGATTTGATGATACAATACGATACTTTTATGTTATATATTTTGCAGTATTATTAATTCATCGAGAACGTAGAATGCAAGTATAAAAAGGATTGGGATAAATACTGTGAAATTGTCAAGTAGAGAATTGTTCCCGGTATGATTTACTTATATTTTTTGCTAAATTCTCAACAAAAATTTGCATTAATCTTGTTTTTTTTCGGTTTATAAAACTAGATGTTTATTGAAATAGAAAAACATAATTAAGCTATAAATGATCATTGCGCATAATCGAGATTTTATATACTGTATTTATTCAAATTTATCCAACCATGATTTTTAGAAAATGTAAAATGGTACATAATCAATATGTTTTTGTTTATTGTTCAACATAAAGAGTTAGAGGAAGAGCTTGTTCAACATTCAAGTCTAAGAACATCTACACTTTTATAAAATTTTTTAAAAAATACATAATTATGTAAAATTAGGTGATAGACATTTTTTATTTAATGAATTAAAATATTATATAAAGTTTGTTATCTAAAACTTTCCATTAACAACATTTTAGATATTGATTATTTGTTTTTGAAATGTGGCACTACTGTATGGTGCTCAATACCCAAGATGCATTTTGATAGATTATTATTAATACTTGATGTATTAAATATAAAAGTATTAATAACCGTTTTAAACAAATTATCATTTAATCAGATGTTGAATGTAGCTTTTCGGCTTATAAGCATGCTTTGTCAAAAAATTCAATTAGAATGTTGAATTTTTTAAATTTTAATAAATAAATAATCCTTTCAGAGAAGGTTTAAAAATCGTATTCTCTATTTAATTTCGCATAATTTTAAATTTATTTCGCATCCATCGCATAATCTACGCTATCGCACCGCATAATTTTGGACACCTACCCTAATGGTAAGAACGACTCTAGCGTCGTCCGCAAAAAATGGTAACCGGACAGATCATGTTATTATGTGATTCAGATTTGATTATAGACAATTCAATTCGATCACTAACCAGAAAATGTCTTTAGCGTATTTATGAATTGTTATCAAACAATAAATATGGTCTCTAAGTTTTTCAAAAGAATTTTTTTAATGAATAATATGAATCGCTTAAAATTTTATTATTTATACGTTTTCTTTTGGTCATATTTATAGGCAAATTCGATTTTTTTACAACGTATATATTATCGACTCTGAGTACAACGAACTCAAAACTTGAAATTTCACAATAGTTCATTCATGGATTTTTAATAAAACATAGCATTTTTTATGACAAATTTTTCTTTTTAGCAAACTTTATTTACAATCAGTTCATTATAGAAAAAGTTGAGACTGTAAATAAAATTTAATGTTAAGCATTTTTGACAAATCATGTCAAGTGAATATTTTTTTAACTTAAATACCGTGTGTTTCTATATCTCAAACTTTGTGGATTTTTTGCTTTACTGAATTACTGTAAATGCAATGTCTCACCTTTTTAACAATGACTTTGATCCCTTAAACTGGATAAGTTCTGGTCAGGTACATCGCGTTGTTGATTTTTCTTGAAACTCATGAACTCGCTTTAAAAACACCTTCCTTAATATTAATGTTCGCAAATTATCACGTTTTCCAAGGTGACTAGATTTTAATAACTCTCAATACTTATAGACCGGTAGAAGTATTCGTTAGAGTAAGGTAGATATCCAAAAGTTTTGTTTAGGTACTAATTTATATTGTAGTTTTAGCTTGCAAAATAGTGAATGGTTTACAATAATAAAATATGTGCCTGTAACGAACTTTGCATCTTTTTTTTCAAAAAGGAAAGCTTAAAAATATTAATAAAAATTTATCAACAAATTTAGCCAATGGTAAATCGAAATTTAGTGCAACGTAACACGATCAGAAAAATTCAAAACAAACGTTCGTTTTGACAAAAAACCTGCTTTATCCCAAGAATTCACATAAAAAACCGCTCTTTACGTTCTTTTCTTGACTAATTTTACTACATGTTTTCAATTTCCAAACCCTAAATCTAACACTAATTTTACTATAGCCACACGATACGAAGTACCGGGTGGCTTTTTGTCTCGAATCAACATGGATATGTAGGATATGGTAGTACAAGGGGTGTTTTGGTTTCACAATTGACGCGTCATGCAGGTTTGAATTTGTGGGTATATATAGAAGTACAAGTAGGTATGAAATAACCATCTTTTGTTTTTTCTGCTAACCCGACCTTTATAGTCTGGTCCCTCCCACCCAATCCGAGACAAGTTGGGAATCTTGCATTGGAAGCTCGGGCATGAATGTTGGCCCAGTCTTGTTTAAATATTTAAATGATAATTTTTGAAATTTGTTAAGTTTAGTATGTTAAACCAGACGAACATAGTGTTAGTCTTGTAAGAAGATATCCTGCAGGAAGGTAATCATTTCTTGTTCTACTGATATTGCATCATGAATTAGTATAGCTGGCAGAAGCTTGATGTTTGCCTCGCATGAACGAATTCGCGGGATGGCAATCAAGCTCGGGCTTGTTTTAATCAATTACAGAACCTACGATTCTCATTAGGTCTGTGCTTTATAAGTGTGAAACTGTTTGCTCGAAAGCAGGAAGGCAAATAACCCGTTAATGTATTTCATATTGTTTTATAATGTACCTCCTAGATGAGAGACAAATACATGTTTTCAATTTCAAACCCTAAATCTAACACACTTTAACAAATTCGAAATTATTATCCACCGTCACGTGACCGAAAAATTCGTGGTCGCCCTGATTACACGATCTGTCACTGATATGATGTTAACGTGTAATTTTCCCCTTTTTTGCGAAACACAGCCCATTTATTCAAAATAATATATTTAAACCTTACATATTTACATAAATCAGCTTAAAAATTAAAAAAATGTGAATGAAAAAGTGATCTATTTGCAACAACTCACTAGTCAAATACCATCAAAGATAGTTAATCATATAGAGTTAAATTTGGCAGAAATCGGGTAATCCCTATTGAATACATATCATTATAGTTATCAAATAAGGTATCTCATGATCTAGTATCCGAATTCGAATGATTATGATACCATTCAATTCGTCTTATTGAGACAAAATGAATCGTAATAAAGCTATTTAATTCTGATTGATGTATAATAAATTATTAGCTACAATACTTAACTTCGCCGATCATTTTAAACATGGTGTGCTAATCTGATTAGTCAGTGGTACTTGTATTAGGAACTATTTTCGTGTCAGATTGCAGATGACGCATCAATTACCACTGATCTTTACGAAACTTATAGGTTTTCATATAATAGAATTTAAAGGCTGAAATTTAATGCAAAATGATAATTTGAATTAGAATACAAATAAATTGATTTGCTTTTAGCCAAGCTAAACTACTGTATTCTTGGTAATTTTATTTTTTTAAAGTTCGAAACCATTTAAATTTATTGATGTTATTGATTGACTAAACGTTAAATATAGTTTAAACCCAATATACTAGTATTAGAATAATTATTCCATGATTATATAGAGAAACACCGTTTACTACATAGACAGTATTAGACTGCCATTAGACACATAAAAATTATGAATAGACTAAGATCGGAAACATTTTTTACTTAGAAACAAAAGTAATTATATTAATAAAATTTACAATTTCCTATGGCTTATTATAAAATTTATAACATAAAAATTGATTTGTTGATTTTAGGGATGCCATGTGATTTAAATCACGATGATATAAATCATTGATTAAAGCAGATTTTAATCTTTTATTAATACAGTATTATGCTTCGCAAAAGATGTTAGCGTATTCAAAGTCAGGATTTGAATATAATAATTGAATTACGTAATAAAGATCAAATGCTTCAAATCATTTGTAAATCATGATTTTTGCCATCCCTAGTCGATTTTCTCCTTTTTCGTAGCACTCAGCCCATATATGTTTAATGACTTTTTCCCATTAAACTATGTAAGCTCACAACAATGCGTTAATATAATAAAATTATTTAGAAGCTAATCAAGCTAATCAAGTATAAGGGCTACGATCTTTTAATAAAAGAAAATACGCGTAAATGGTAACAGGAGGAAACGTCGATGTTACACGGCTGATCCTTCACCCGATGTGCAGCATATAAAAAAATTGTTTTTTCATTCCGCTAGTACACGTTGTGATTATAATCCAACACCATTTTATTATAAAAAAAATAGTGTTGGATTATAATCATAACGTGTACTAGCGGAATGAAAAAACAATTTTTTTTATATGCTGCACATCGGGTGAAGGATCAGTCGTGTAACATCGACGTTTCCTTCTGTTGTAAATGGTATAACCCTTATGATTTCTGTAATCAATAGATGCCATTAATGTAATTTTACTCTGATGCCATTTTAATGTAATGTTATTATGCCTTGAGTTAAATAAGAATTTGAGTTTCTTAGAATAAATGGATCAAAAAAATGATTACGTTTCGTGAGAAAGTTTAATGTATATCATGAATTCTTTTATAAATGGTTACTATTGAATATTATTCTTTACCATTATTCGATTTCTCTATGGAAAAAAATTCATACACCATCGATATAACAAACACAATCTTAACTTCACAAAATATCAACTCCTGTAATTCTCAAGATGATGAGAAAATATTGTCTTCAGAACAAGGATTTGAAAATGAAAAAAAAATCGAGAACGAATTAAATTATAAAAACAAATCTGAAGTTCTTCCTGTACCTATAGTCAATATATCAGGTTCAAACAGTAATTACGCGACAGTGATCAATGATGATCCTAAAAATTGGCCACCTACGAAAAAATGGTGGATCTTGTTTATCGTGACCGTTTCGGGGATGTTGTCACCTATTGCTAGCACGTGTGTGCTTTTTTTTTGTTTCATTTTATTAAAGTTATGACGCGTCTTCGTAATAATTCAACAAAGTTGTAATTGATAAGTTATTTCATTTGAAAAAAATTTTTAGGATTCTTTATCCAGCAGTAATAATCCTACGTAAAGAATTAGATACCACTGAGATAGTTGTCAATTCTTTAGGTAATACCATATCAGATATGTAACAATCCTGGGCCTTATAAGTACAAGCGGATAAATTTTTGACAAAATAAATTACACGAAATTCTACTAACGGTCCGGAAAATATTATGGTGTGGATCAAAAAACAGAGTTCCGCTAGTACCTAACGGCCCAAAACATTAATGAAATTTTAACGATACAATTACAATCTTTAACAATGAACTCCATTTATACTTCAAAAGTTTCGATGTTCATATTTTGTATGGGAATTGCGGTAAGACTTAATTAATTTGATGTATTGGTCATGTTCTTTATTTTATACTCTTTAATTTGTTGACTTTTAATAAAGCTTATTTACAAATTGTTTCTTAATTTCACATTCTAGCCGATAGTATGGGCTGCTTACTCTGATAAATTTGCAACAAGACGTAAAGTATACTTAGCTTCCATTATAGTATTCATTATCTCAACCATAGCATGTGCCGTTGCCACGAACATTTGGTTGTTGCTGATAATGCGTGCTATCCAAGCTTGTGGCTCTTCTGCTGTATTATCTATTGGTTCTGGAATTATAAGTGATATTTATGATTCAACTGGTAACCTTTTCAATATATTCGTTTATGTATTATAAGTAATATTTATCGTTATATAACAATAAATTCATTTATGTGTTACAAAAAAAAAATATTTTTCTAACTTTTCATTTTAATAGAAAGAGGTCACGCTTACGGTTTATTTTATTTAGCTTATTGGATTGGCCCATTCGTGGGTCCAATGTGTGGTGGTTACTTTACAGAATACCTCAGTTGGAGATGGATGTTTTGGTTTTTAACCATATATGGTGGTATCATATTGTTATTAATTCTATTTTCTCTACCTGAAACTTTTCGTATGGTTTCATCTTCAACCGATAATTCTTCCACAATCCGATTTAATCCAATTGCTCCATTAAAGTTATTACGATATCCAAACGTAACTTTAGTAATAATATACATAAGTATAATATCTTCAATAATTCACCTTCAATACATTAGCGTTCCTCGGAACTTTTCCAAACGATACAATCTATCTTCGTCAACTGTTGGTTTATTATTTATTGCACCCGCTGCTGGATGTGCAATTGGTAGTCTCTTAGGTGGAAAATACTCGGATTTTGTGTTACGTAAAAAAAGATCTGAAAATGGTGACTTTAGCTATCCAGAAATGAGAATTCATAGTATTTGGTTTGGTGCATTTTTGGTTCCAAGCTCATACCTTACTTATGGATGGTTATTGGAAAAGAATTTTAATATAATAGTGTTGATGATATTGTGGTTTTTTGGTAAAGTATTTTTAGGTTCTTTTTTTTTTATATATTTAAAATTACGTAATATCTATATATACATATATAATTTTTCGTTTTTTTTGTTAAAAAAAAAAAAAAAACTTTTCAGGTTCATTAGGAACATTGGTCGTTTTTAATTCACTATCTACATACTTGGTAGATGCATATCCAACACGTAGCGCGTCGGTAATCGCACTAAACAATTGTATTAGATTTATGGTAGCAGGAACTGTGGCAATTTTAGAGCCACTGATGGAAGATACTTTGGGTACAGGCTGGATGTTCACTTTAATGGTTTCTTTGGGTATTATTAGTACTTGTTTTATAGTAATCGTGTATTTTAAAGGAAAAGAATGGAGAGAAAATGTGTTATCTAATTCAGAGGTAGGAAAGTTTTAAGGTAAAAGTTACAAGAATGATAAATCATTACTTAAAGCCTTAAATAATGTTATTAGTATAATAAACAAATTTTTGTAAGACTAACATATACTATAGATTTACTTAACATTAAAATTTTCGTCAGTTCATAATTAATTACTCAAAAATATAAATTCAAAAATACGAACAAAATAAATTTTTACAATACTTGGAAAGTTAATAAAAAGTAGGTATACTATATGTCTGTCTGTCTGTCTGTCTGTCTGTTAAACGCCTGAAAAATATCATAAATTACTGAAAAAGATGTAACGGTAATTAATCAACAAAAGACCTGGTCTTTAAAAAATAAAGACCAAATTTTACAGACACTAGTTATTTACTTTCGAGTCTTTATAATATTAGCTCATTAATATAATTTATATACAAAACAGTAATGTTCTAAATAAACTTATTAAAATTATTTCTAAATACAATTTCTCTAATTTATATACACCCATCGTGCTGCCAAATAACTTATTAAACCAAACGTTGTTAAGTCAAGAAGGAACTGAATACTGAAAATCATGTATTACTTTTTTTTTAATTCCTACAATATATATAACTTGTTATCTACGCTAACGCTAAGAATTTACTGAATTATCAAATATTAAGATGGAAATTACAGCTACCCCAATGAGACCATGAAAGATCGTATATGCACCAATCAGATCTTTTCGAATAATCAAAACAACTTTAATATGCGCAATATTTTAAAGTACTAAAACCTCATGTTAGTTGGGATAGAAATTACAATATGCATACTCAATACCAAAATTTCACAAGGAAATTTTTTTATTAGAGCGCAGAAAGTGGTTTCATAGTCAAAATTTTTAGTTATCGTTTGTTCATGATTTTCGATTTTCGTGTTACACCTGATCTAGTGATCTTATTGGCGACGATCAATCAAAAAATCCGATTGGTGCATATACGACGATCTTTCATGGGTAGCTGGAAATTACCATATCGATATGTATTTGCACATGATCAATGATAGATTCCCGATATATGTTATAAATCAAAAAAAAATTTTTTTAACCACTCGTTTATCACTGCGTTACGATGAACACGACAAATATTAAAAAGACTTCAAAAAAAGATTCAACTTTGAAAAATGAAAAGTCAAAATCTAGTAAAAAAAAATGCAAAGAAATTGGATCTGTAGAAAATGGTGACCCTTCCGAATTAACTTCAAAGAACAATAACAAGCATGAAAATAATTCTATTGTCGTCGAAAAAAGTTTAAAAAAAAAAAAGGTGAAAGATAAAGATGAAAAAACTACTGTTAGTAGTCGTTCCAAATCTAAACGAAAAGAATATGAAGACAAGCAAAATGATGAGAATGATGAGAATGATGATAATTCTTTAATAGCATTCAATGGAAAATCACCGAAAACGAAGAAACAAAAGGTCGAAAATGATGCTTTGAAATCTGAAATAAATGATAATATTGTCACAAATGATATAGAGACAACCTCTCAGTTTAATGAAAGCGTATCTGAAAAAATAAAAGAAATTCCAGATCATTTAAAAATTTCTTCGTATAGGATTACGCAAACAACAATTGATTCGTTAAAACAACGTGGAATTGAATCATTATTTCCCATACAAGCTGCTACCTTTGATTTAATTTATGATGGAAAAGATGTTCTAGCTAGAGCTAAGGTTTATATCGATATTCATATTTGTGTCTTATAAATCTATTAATGCATAATTTTATTGAAATTTTTTTTGATTCCATTTAAATAGACTGGAACTGGTAAAACACTAGCTTTTGCATTACCCATAACTGAAGTCCTCTTAAAGTCAAATGAAGAGGGCAGCCTTAAAAATGTTCATCGTGGCCGTGCTCCAAAAGTCATTATTATGACTCCTACGCGCGACCTTGCTAAACAAGTTTCATCAGAATTTGAATCAATAGCACCAAACTTAAAAGTTTTATGCATTTATGGAGGTGTTGCATATGATTTTCAAACTCAAGGCTTGCGTAATGGTATTGACGTTCTTGTTGGTACACCGGGTAGAGTTTTAGATCATATTGATCGTGGTAATTTAAAGTTGGGTGATTTGAAGTTCATTTGTTTAGATGAAGCCGATCAAATGTTAGATATTGGCTTCGCAGAATCTATGGAAACAGTTTTACAACATGTAAAACAACATAAAGAAAGTCAAAATAAAGGCATTGACTATCAAACACTCTTATTTTCGGCGACAGTTCCAGATTGGGTAAAAAATACCGTCAAAAAATATTTGAGGACTGATTATGTTAGTGTGGATTTGACTAGAAATACGGATACGAAAACAAATGGTGACAAATACATCTTATATTGAAATATATATTTAAATTAAAAAACTTTAATTTACTTAATCATTTATACGTCTTTAGAAAACATTCGCCATATTGCTATTCGTTCTACATGGAAATCAAGAAAAGATATCATTGGTGATGTTGTAACATGCTATGCTGGTTCAGGTTCATGTGTAATCTTTTGCAATACCAAGAGTGATGCAAATGGTGTGTTATTAGTCATTCCTGAATGCTAAATTTATAATTGAATCTATATCAATGTTTAAATTATTCCATTAATATTTCAATTATCAGAACTTGTTCTTAATGACAAACTCAAACAAGATGCACGAGTATTACATGGTGATATTGTGCAAACGCAGCGAGAAATCACAATGAAAGCCTTTAGAGAAGGCAAATTTAAATGTATTATCTGTACTGACGTTTTGGCCAGAGGAATTGATATTCCACAAGTTGGTATGTTTACATTTATTGAATCGAATATTATTATTATTATTATTATTATTTTATTTTATTACCATTTTTTCTTTTGTTTTGCATATAGATTTGGTGATCAATTGTGAACCACCAAAAGATATTGATAGTTATGTACATCGAGCTGGTAGGACAGCAAGAGCAGGACGACAAGGAATTGCTTTAACATTCTTTAAACCACAAGAAGAAAACCGTATTTTGAATATTCAACGGTGTATTGGTGTTACTTTTCAAATTGTGGGTCCGCCTCAACCACAAGATATTATTACTGCTACAGCAAATGATGCTGTAAAAAATTTAGAATCTGTTGAAAGCAATGTATTACCTTATTTTTATTCAACAGCCAAAGAATTGATAGAATCTCAAGGTGCAATAGGTGCTTTAAGTGCAGCATTAGCTTATATGAGCGGATATTCTGGTGGAATCAAGAAAAGATCATTAATGTCCGCTGATGAAGGATATACCACATTATTATTTCGGTTTACATATCCAATTCGGCATACTAGTTATGTTCGGAATATTTTTAGAAAACATTTTACAGATTTGCCAGAGGATGCAGTTAAAAGATTTAATATGACCAAAGATATGCAAGGTGTTGTGTGTGATATTTCAACACAATATTTAGAAATTGATGAAGATGGACATTTAATTTTAGGAGGAAAGCAGTGGTATGATGCTGAAACTACTACATTAGAAGTTGCTAAAGAATTACCAGAACTAGTACAAACTAACAAGAGCTTTGAAAGAAATGGTGGATTTAGTAATGGATATGGTAACAATGGATATGGTAACAGTGGATATGGAAATAATAATGGGTATAAAAATGGATATGGAAATAATAATGGGTATAAAAATGGATATGGAAACAACAATAATAATAGTAATAATAAGTGGAAATCTTTCAATCGCAATTCTAATGGAAAGTCTAATGGATATAGTAGGAATCGTGGTTTTGGTGGAACGTAAATAATCATTAGAGCAGTTTACATCATATTTCGGTTTTATTGATGTAATATGCTCTTGCGGTTGGAAAATTTGGTAACATGGAAAACCTTATAATAGAATTCTATTTAAAAAGTAAAGTGCGATATTAACTTGAAAAAAAAACCATTATTAAAAGAAATAATATTTTAGATTTAATAAATGTTTAAAAAGTTTTTGCACTTATATTTGGTATTTGAAAGCATACTTTAGTCATAACATGGAGCTGAGCTCTCTCAAGTTGATAGGGCGACAGCTAAACTTAATGATGCATTACTTAAATCTTTTTTTAACACGTCACTGTTAATATTTTTAGCAATTCTTTAATGTGTGCCAGGTTTTTAGCGTAGAAAAAAATTTTTAAGGGTAGGGTGAACGTAGATCATTTTTTATATGATTTACATGGCACAAAAAAATTTACATAGATGACAAAAATTTATTTTTAATAAAACTTTTTAAAATTATAACTAATCTTTACCAAAATGGTGTATTATATAATTTGGAGTTTCTTATTTATAGCAGTGAAATTTTGAACTTTGTATCTTTTAAAAAAATCCCAATAAAAAAACCAAATAGGTTTAATTTTTTTAGGTTGCATTAAAATTGCTAATTCTAATTGGTCAGATATACAATGTTTACAATCCTGATTGGTTGGTTGCATGATTTTTTTTTTTGATATTTAAGGTAATCTCTTTGGTCTTTTAACTTTATTAATACTTTTGTCAGGCATCATGATGAGTATACAACTGGTTACATGTGTAACTTTTTTATATTACCTATTTAGGAGTCTGCTCAGGAGTTTCTTACCAGTTGTTGTACCTAACATCTCTGCTTAGGTGTTTCATTTAAACCTTCTGATCCAAAATCTTTGTATTGTTAACATTAAGAGTTTTACACATTTTTGATTATAACTTTTGATGTACTGAATCAAATTGGATAAAACAACCATCATTGGATTCAGCTTACTGAGATGATTCTAACAGGCACAAGATCATGTGATTTTGATCACAGAATCACAAGATAAACCAAATTGGATGAAACAATCATCATTGAATTCAGTTTATTGAGATGATTCTAACAAGCACAAGATCATATAATTCTGATCAGGGATCACAAAATCAGGACAGTTTTGATGAAAATATTAATTCTAGTATATATGACTTGATTCTGATTGATTCACATTATTGTATTAAATCTAACAAATCTAACATTTCTAACAAATCTATTAGATCTAATATATCTAACATATCTAGCAGATATTACATATCTATTATTTTTATTATTTCTATTATATCTTTTATATCTATTATATATATTATATCTATTATATCTATTAGTTCTTATATATCTTAACATTACTATAAATAGTATTTATTAGTAATAGAGTAGTCTTTATTGTAATAATTTATATATATAAAATATCTATAAAAATATTATTTTCTAACTCTTTAAGAAAATTAAATGTCTTTATACATTTTATGATTAATAAACTGAATATAATATTTAGTATCATTATATATTATCTATTGTTGCTTCTGTCTTAAAATTTCAAATCACTTTGTATTTTGTTAAGTCTTATATAAACTTTTATATAAAATCTATCAAATTATAATCATTATACTATAGTTAAGTAGTTTCTGTTATCACTATAATTAAAAGAAAAACTATAGGTTAACAGTATCAATTTTATTAGATCACTTGTATTTAGATTTTTGTCTCAACCTTAGAACAATTTTATTCTTAAAAATAAATTTCTTAGAATAAGTTATATATATTTTATCTATTATTAATCTGAATTTTTTATTATGGTTAAGATTAACACTTACAATTAAAGTTATTTATTAAACTGTTATTATTCTTATAAAGTTTATTCAAACTTTGATATTTATCTTTTTGATATCTTCTTCATTATCTTTTACTATTTATAACTTAGAACTAACAGATTTTCTAGATTTCTAATTCAAATAGTTTGATATAATATATTTATATATTCTTTTCTCTGATGATTCTGTTATCCTAATTGGTTATGTGCTTCTTTACATATCTTATTATCTGATTTATTTAATAATTTCTATAAAGATGTTTTATAAGTTTTTATTAGTCTAATAGTATCATCAAAAATTTATATTATCTTTTTATTTAGAATTTCTAAATAGGTTTTTGTCTTCTCAGTTTTTTAGTTTATATACTTAGTAGTTTTATTATAAGTTTGTACTAAAGTCTTATATAATATTAGTTTTTTATATTTCTTTATATATTGTTATCCTATATCTACTTCTTTTAAGATAGTAGGTAACTAGAGTGACCTTAGACAGTGAACACTTTTTGTA